ACTGGATACATCATCTTGCAGTTTGTCTTTAGCATTCCTTGAACATGGCTGAATATTTGGATTTTTAATTTTCAATGGTTTTTATTTTTATATAGACTAGACCTTAATGTTTACTTCACGTGTGGTTAGAGCTACATGAGTACGGCGTGTAAGGTGGCACTATCAGTGCTATTCCTTTATCTAAGACACTATGACAACTTATAGGTAGCTATACTAAGCCTAGTAGTAAACAAAAATGCATAATTTTTTCCATATATTTACTCCATCTTAAGTACACTAAAATAATTGGTTTGGTAGAGTGAATTACACAATTTATTATATTTGTTACACTATTAATATACTTTCCATTCTAAATCTGTCATAAGTTTTATACTATCTACCTTATGAAAACAGTTCTAGTTTTCTTTACCACTCCCTTTTCTTCATTTGATTCATTTCTGAACAAAGAGGCTTTTCAGAACTTCTATTCTTTTCAAAGGAATCTTATTATGGTAAGCTGTGAAATTCTGGAACTAATATATAGAGTAATTAACTAAGCCCAGAGTTTTCTTTTTGGTAAATGAGATTCTTAAGACAGACTTGCTCTTTCTCAAGTTTATTTTCACTTCAACAATAAGGTGTTAATTACAAGCTGGTCAAGACTACTTGATTCTGCTGAGAGAGAGACCATTTAAAAAAAAAAAAAGTACTACCAGGATTTTAGTGCTTCTGCTAAACCTTCTAAAATGAAACTATGACTAAAGCAATTCAAAATGTGTTACATTTATAGCTCAACAAATCTGTTATTTGGATAAACTCTTCCATCAGGACTACCTCCAGCCTCTCTAACAGTTCTTTTATTTTGTATTATGCCACTGATGACCTGTTTGTGAGTTACAACTTCGGTTTTTCTTTAAACAACATCTAAATGTTCTTAATTGTGTTCTATCTTAAACATCTAAATGTTCTATCTTCACCTTCTGCATTCTCAGGCAGATATATTTGCTTGACATAACATACTGCCCCTACTCTGACCACTTATATCAGAATCATTTCCTCAAAAAAAGGTTTGAAATTCCATTCTCATAATTCTAGGCAGAGTTCCAACCCAGCAAATATCATTAACATCCATTTTATATTACTGTTTACATTAAAAAGCCAAGTTCAGACCCCACCAATGTCTCAACTTTGCTATCTCTTCCATCTAAAGTAGCTGTTCCCTCCTCCATGCTCCCATAGGCCTTCACTTGTACCTCTATGACAAAAAGAATTCTGCCAGGTGTTCATACAGTTGTATGTGCTCCATTAGAGAAGAGGCTACCTGATGCCACAACCTCTTTTCTGTTCATCTTTGTATGTATCATTTGCCTAACAAGGCATTGCTCATATTTTTAAGGTTTTTTGTGATATTTTTATTAAACCCATTAATGCCACAACTTTTTTAATATTAGGAAGAAGTATGCTGGAGAGGAAGAGGAGATTTCCTAATACTTTCATTCTGAACACTTTACATGTGTAACTATGTCTTATGGCTTTGTAATGAATTTAATCCTGGCCCTACAATTTGACATTTGATCAATTAAAAGGTGCAATATTTTGCCAAAGATTATCAAATTTATAAGATAAAGTTAAAGGATTTTTACAACTCAAAAGAATGTTACATTTAGTTAGTTATAGGTGTTTTTAAATTCTTAGCTATGCGTAAAAATAACAGCACATCTTGAGTCAGATAATATGTAACATTAGCTGTACACTGCTGCATTAGATGTTTAAGTCTTCTGGAGTAAAATGGGAGTCATAATGCCTATCTCATGAGGGTTAAATGTATCCATGTCTACCACATACAGAATAAAGTTCCTGCCACATAGTAACAGCTATTACATTTTTAAAATTAAAGATAGCAATTTACACGGTCATCATTGTCACCAATAATATAATCATCATTAACTTGATAGGAAACAGAGAGAAAAACATGTTAAGTTTTAAGTGGAATTCTGAATCCCCCCCATCCTCTGTTCTCTACTTCCAGTACACTGAAATTAATTTCTACAGTGTAGATTTGTAAGTTACCAGAATACATTTTGATTACAGAAAAAACCATAATAAAGGTCCTTAAAATAACTGACCTTACTAATAATAGTTGAAAAATATCACCATAACAAACTTTAGAAAGAAATAAATTAGCTGGTAAAAGCTAAATAGTTGAGAAAATAATAAGACCAGTTTTTTTTTTTTTTTAAAAGCCAACCCACAAAAATGCCAATTTACAAAATATAAATAGCAATAACTCTAAAGACCACAAGATGGGGTTATAAACCTTTTGAGGCTGTTGCTGTTCCAAGAGCTGCTGTCTGAGATGTTCCAGATTTTGCTGTTGTAGTTGTTCTGCTATCTGATGAAAAATGGAATTGTTCACAGATTCTGAAACGTGAGAACTAAAAGGAAAAACAGGTGGAAACATATTTTAAAACCCACTAAAGATACTATGAAAACAACTGAGTATTCAAATAAAACAAAACAAAAAAAAGCCAATTAAATGAAACTACATGTTTGCTTTTTCTACTACTTTTTCAATATTCTACTACATGTTTGCTTTTGAAGTTTTAATGCCAAAAGTAGAATACTTCAGAACATCAATACCTTAAAAGAAAAATAAATACAACTGTATATCAACAGATGGATAACATGTCAGAGATACTCTGCTGAAGAGCTGATATTGTTGTCTCATGCTATTAAATACATATAAATTAGTGCTTTTTCATTAGAGCATATTAAGAAAATCTCAATAAAGTATTTATAAAAGTTTATTTCAACAGCATCACTTTAACTCCTCTAACTATGAGATAGAAAAATGGTCTATCAATCAGTATGTGCAAGATCTACAACTGTAATCGATAAAGTTTATAAAACTAATACTCTTCCTTTAGAAAATCATATACATTATTAGGTATGTTAACATAAGTAGACACTGTTTAGGTAAGAAGAAATAATAGTTTAACTATATTCTTGGAAATTCACACCTGGAATACACCTGGGATTCTGGGTGCCACAAGGTAAGACATGAACAAAAAAGAAGGCATCCCAAAAGGGGCAAGCAGGATGGTGAGAGGTCTTGAAACAGTTGGAAAAAAAGTGTACTTCATCTGGAGCAAATAAATCTAAGGGGAAGAATGATACCTATCTTCAAATATTAAAAAGCTACATCTCTATAGTGGAGTAAATTTGTTTCCTTGCTTCAGAAAGTAAAATGTGGGTCAGTGTGTATTAATAGAAAATAAAGAAAACAGGATTCAGTTTAACAAAATAACACACAATAATAACAATTAGTTAACTCTTCATCACAGAAAGCATTAAAATACTGGATAAATAAACTATCATCAGGACTGTTAACAGAGATTCTCACATAGTTTAGGACACTGATCAACATGATTTCAAATGCTGCTTCCAACTTTGCAATTCATAATCTAAAATATTAGTTTTAAATTTTGTCAAGTGGAATAATTTTACCAAAATGATACATTGTATTTAACACATTCTAAAATTCTGTTTTTATGTATTACCCCAATATATACAACTAACTTCTGTTTGAAACAAGAGACCCACAGACTTTCACCATTCATCCTTCTTCCACTCTCCCAACTTCTACCCCTGCCCCCTCCAACATCTTCCTCCTACTAGTCCATTCACAAACCCTCACAGAACCTAGGGCACTGAAGAATTGTTTAGGGGGGAAAAAAGTTGCTGATTTAAATAAAAACATACAACACATTTCTTTAAAAAAAATAAATCCCTATAACTCCAATTCTTAATTCTAATCAGGTTGATGTGTTCCCACAATTTCATAAGCTTTCTAGAAATGGTCTTTAGCACTAGAAGCAAGCTTCATTCCTAGTATTCCAACCACTCTTACAATGAAGTTAAATAACTTAAAGCCTAATATAGAAAATATTACAACTGGATTTACCAATATCTATCAATGTTCTTAGAGGGAACTTTATGATACAGTCTATTTGCAAAGATCTGAGAAAAGACTCAAAATAATATAAGGAGACAAGACAGCATCTCTACCACCCTTGTATAATGTTAGAGGTTCAACAGCTTGAAATGGTAACTCCAACTTATTAAGTATACTTAGTAGTTCAGATGGCAACAACCCACCCAATATTAAAAAAACTATGGCTATAAAGAAAAAATTCTTACAGTTGCGAAGTTGGAATTTCCTTTTTGGGCTCTTCACTATGCTCAGAATCTTCCCCAAAATCAAACCTATCCATCAACTTCTGGGGGGAAAAAAGGAGAAACAGGCACATTAAAAAGTACTTCACACAAATATAAGTTATAAATGCTATTTTACATGTCAATGACATTCTGTTAATTTATCTCTATCATTTAATGTGTCAATAAATGTTTTGTATCACTTTATACTTTATAAAGTGCTTTGAGTAGATTTTTCCTTTAAAGCATTTTGATATGTATTATCTTATGTAACAAAACAAATTATGATAGAGGCAGGATAAACATTAATACTCAAATTTTACAGAAAACTAAGGATTAAAATAATTAGGTGGCTTTCCCATGGTAATTCCCTAAATGAAACATCTAGGACCATAATCAATGGATCTATTAATAGTATGGTTCTCAACTTAGAATGCTGTTATTCTTCTGAATGCTCAACCTAAAGGCTTTTTATGTGGTCTAGCTATTTAGTGTTAGACTAAATTAGACATAGAAGCTGCTGGCCAAAATGTCTAAGTAATAATCCAATAAATCAGTATTTACTTTCCTTTAACATAATAGTACAAATTTTAAAAATATGAACACCACTTCCAAGCATTATGATACTCCCATAATTAACAAGCATACTAAGAATATCACACACTAAATTATACATGAAAGATTTTAAATTTCAGAAACACTATCTTTTACAGTTAGGCCTTAACTTACCATAGTTATAGTATAATGACAAACTGTAGAGAAGTTTTCCTTTAAACTTTTCACACATTGATTAGAGAATTTTAACTTTTGCAGGTCCAAATGACAGAACACAGAGAGAGCAGCAAAATAAAATGTGGCATCCATGAAAATTAGACAAGTTCAGAAAATAAGAGCTTGCCTCAGGGGGGAATACAAGATTTTACTGACCAGTTATTTTTGGTCAAATAAAAATATTTTAAATGTTTCAAGAAAAAGCAATTTTTTTTTTTTTTTGAGACAAGAGCCTCACTCTGTCACCTAGGCTGGAGTACACTGGCTTGATCTCAGCTCACTGCAACCTCTACCTCTGAAGTTCAAGCGATTCTCCTGCCTCAGCCACCCCAGTAGCTGGGATTACAGGCACGCACCACCTAGCTAATTTTTGTATTTTAGTAGAAACAGGGGTTTCACCACATTGGCTAGGCTGGTCTCAAACTCCTGGCCTCAAGTGATCTACCTGCCTTGGCCTCCCAAAGTGCTGGGATTACAGGTATGAGCCACTGTACCTGGCCTAAGAAAACAGTTTTAATTATTCAATTTTCAGAAGTTTGAACCTTTTGTAAACTTCACAATGTCTTATACAGTGTACAGGGGATATTAAAACAGTCCATAAAAAATTCATTTATAGAATTAAAATCCATGAGATAGTATATAGTATTGAATAATTCACATAGAGCCAATTTGATATTTTAGTTTCTACCTTGTTAAAGGAGACTCCCTGTTCTAAGGGAGTGAGAGTGTTGGCAGCCGCAGCTGCAGCTGTAAGTTGTGCTGTAAGAGCTTGCAACTGAACAACAAGACCAGCATCCAGAGCCTGCAGAATGGAAGGCTGGGGCTTCTGCTGTTGTATCTGTAAGGTTTGTATTAACTGTTGAAGCTGGAGAGAAAAAAACAATTATTAGAAAACAAGTGTTGGGTTTTTTTCTGTAAGAGTGGCCACCTAAAACTTTTAGTCAGTAAAATTAATCATTCCATACTCTCTTTGGAGATCAAGAAAAAAATACATACTGTTAATCACAGTTAATTTTTTTGAAGGTTGTGTACCATATATTACATAGTCCTTAATAAGTTTGTCTTACTTCTGGAAAGTCAGCAAACTTTAAACAATATAGAGTGACCTGTGACAACCAGTTTAAAAACTCATTACAAGCTGACACCTTTTTCACGAAACTTTTCAACCCTTCTTCAATTAACTCTTTACACTCTATAAAAGGACAAGCACTGAAAATAGCAGCAGCTTTTGGTATTACTCAGAATTACCATCTGAGCACACAGTTCCTGAAAGCAGGAGAGCGATGAAGAAATCTGTTTCTCAGAGTAGAGTCTGGCAATTAGTTATTAATAATAAATTGTGTCATCTAGAGTTGAAGGCAACTCTTGCTGCCACTATGTACCCACTCCTGTTAAAAAACAGACACAACAGTAAGTTCTTTAAGAGATTCCACAGATAAGAAAACCCTATATACATCCCAGAAGTAAATGTTAATCAATCCAGTTATAAGCCTGAGTTAAATCCAAAAATATGAGTTTAAAAGAGAAAAATGAAGACAGCAAACTACTGATTACAAAGACAACTGTACTCTTGAAGTTCAACTTCTAGAAGGAGAGGGCACAAAAACTATGTAAGAAGAAAGTAAAGTAAAAACAGCAACATTAGGAAACAAACTTGTCACTTAACTATCAACTAAACATTTTCTATTAAAACTACTAAAATGATACCAAAGAAAATACAAAAATATATGATAGTTAAAAGTTACTGCACTTAGGAAGGCCAAGAACAAAAAAGACCAAGATGACATTCTAAATCACTACGAGGAAGGAAGGGCGGGCAGAATGAAGAGAGAATGGGGAGACAGGACTGGGGGTGGTGGTGTGGGAGGAAGGAAATGCCGTATTTCCCCTTTACACTTTTAACTGCCCCTTTTCACATCTGCACTTTCCCAGTCAGTGGCACTGTTATTCATTTGGTCACCCAAGTTTTAAAGGAAAAAAAAAAACAAAAAAACCTGCCACATCAAATTTTTTTTCCTCTACTCCGGCTTCATATTCTATCAATTACTGTTTTACTGACTGTTTGTACTATTTCTTTCAAAAAATTTCTTCTCCTGCCAAAAACATTTAATATAAGAACACTTGCTTTATGAATTGTTTTCAAAATATTATCACGAAATAAAATTACTAACTCTACAATTTCATCTAACATCCAGTTAATATTCAGTTTCCAAACTGTCTCAAAAATGTAGAAAATATATTTAACCTAATAGTACACATTGGTTTTTAAAAATATTTTTAAGTCTAGAATGGCTCCATGTTTTTGAGATTGTATTTTCAGAAAGTATACAACCTTACTATTTTTCGTAATTATCTCCTTTTCAAAACCACTATTACCAAAAAAAGTTACTCTGCCTCTGGACTTCTCCCCTCTCTAATCCTTGTCAAGTACTGTTAAGATCATGTGACTTCAACATAAAAAGTCCCTGGTGATTCCCCCATTGCTTAGCAAATGAATGGTTTATCTCTCAGCCCACTATTTATAGTTTTCACAACCTAGGTCACACTTAAGTCTGCCATTTAACTTTGTCATTAATAGCTTACACAGACTCTTAAGACAACTCAACTCTACAATATTTTTTGTATATCCAACATTGTAATGCTTCTGTACATCATTCATTCATTCCACAAGAAACATATCAAACACCATCTATAACCTAGACACTGGAGAAGCAGCAGTGAAATGCAAAAAATTCTTGCCCTAGTTTAGCAGACATTCCAGTGGGAAAAGACAGAGAAAAAACAAGTAATTATATAACATAACAGAAGGTAGTATGTGCTAAGGAAGGAAGTAAGCAGAGGTGAGCGAGAACAGAGTGTAAAGAATGACAGGTAGAGCTTACAGTTTTAAATAGCAGTCACGGCCGGGCACAGTGGCTCACACCTGTAATCCCAGCATTTTGGGAGGCTGAGGTAGGCGGATCACTTGAGGTCAGGAGTTCAAGACCAGCCTGGCCAACATGGTGAAACTCCATCTCTACTAAAAATACAAAATTTAGCCAGGCATGGTGGCTCACACCTGTATTCTTGGCTACTCGGGAGACTGAGGCAGGAGAATCGCTTGAATCTGGGAGGCCCAGGTTGCACTGACCCGAGATTGTGCCATTGCATACCAGCCTGGGCAACAGAGCAAGACTCTGTCTCAAAAAAAAAAAATAAATAAATAGCAGTCACTTAAGGCCTTATTAAAGTGACATTTAAACAAAGACTTACAGAAGGTGAAGCCATATGAATATATGAGGAAAGTGGGTTTTCAGTATAAAAAACATCAAATGCAGAGATGTTGGGGCAGGATTACAGGTAGTTTATGTAAGAAACAACAAAAATGCCACTATGGCTGCGATGCAACCAGTCACAGGGCGAAGGCGGTGAGAAACGAAGCAAAGTAAAACATAAAAGCAGGGGTCGGGGGTAGGCAACATAAGCAAGTCTTATCAGAGAAATCTATAAATTGGTGACAAAAAATGTTGGGAAGGGAACAACAGATCAAACTGAGAACATACAAGAACCAATGAAGTGATTGTTGACATCTGGGCTTTTAGCACAGGCACGATGGCTCATGCCTGTAATCCCACTGACTTGGGAGGTGCAGGTCAGAGGACTGCTTGAGGCCAGGAGTCCAAGATCAGCCTGGGCAACATAGTGACATCCTGTCTCTATATAAAAATAAAAAATTTAACGAGGCACGGTAGCTACAGGTTTAGTCCCAGCTACTTGGAAGACTGAGGTGGGATTGCTACACCCCAGGAGTTCAAGGATACAGTGCAATACGATTACACCACTGTACTCCAGTCTTAGCGACAAAGCAAAACCCTATCTCAAAATAAAATCAAACAAACAAAACAACTTGGGCTTTTACTCTGAATGAGACAGGGAGTCAATGGAGGATTCTGAGCAGAGTCATTACACGAACTCTTAGGTATTAAAAGGGTCTCACTGCAGTATTGAGAACAGACTGCTGTGAGGCAAGGGTGGAAGAAGCCCCATTAAGAAGATTCTGCAATAAACCAGGTGGGAAATGATAGTGGCTTGATTCTAGGAGCTAGTGATAGAGGTGGTGAGTTAGTGACTCAGAATATACTCTGAAGGCAGAGGATTTCTTAACAGATTGGATCTGGAAGAACAAAAGGAAGAAAGGAATCAAGGATGATTCTTAAGCTTCAGAGTATGAGCAAATGAAAAAATCGCATTTTCACTAACAGAGAGGAAGATGCAGGTAAAGCAGATTTTATCTGAAAGACTGAGAATTCATTGTTTACTCTCAACTGTCTCTGTCTATGTAGCTCATCCTTAGCATCCATTTCTTACCCATCCTTTAAAAACAAATTAACTGTCATCTGTACAACGGAACTTTCCTGAATCAATTATTCAAGCTAAAATATTAACTCTAGTCCTGAATTTCCAAAGCCCTTCTTTTCTAAAGTTCTCCCATGATTATAAATGTAATTACATGTATGTATTCCAATTAACCTTGACTATTAAACTTTAGGCTTCCAGAGGCCAGAAAATGTTTCTTATCTTGTGTGCTCCAGAACAAAGTACAGTGCCTCAAACACTGCAGGCCAAAGTAAATGTCTGCAGAAGGTTGAATGAATGAAAAACAACCAATGAAGTGATACAATATCACTGGACTTCAGAGACCAAACAAGCTCTACAAAATTCTAGTTTGGTTTGAATAGTGAAGGAAGGGTGAAAGGTAAGAAAATTGGAGAAGCAGATGATAAAGTAAAACGGGGGAGCAACACAAGCAAAGAGAACACTTACCATTAATTTAGAGAAATCTATGAAACTCTGTAATCTAAGTAATGAAAAATGTTTGGAAAAAATAACAGATTACATTAATTCTCAATACCATAAAGTTGGATTTTATTCTATGTACAACATGCAATTGTTGCTTGTTCCTGAGCATATGTTTAAGATATATGAGATCATTTATAAAGATTAGTCTTGCAGAGAATTAAAACGATGGATCAAAAAGGGAAGAGAAGCATCCAAGGGATTAAATGCTACTTAAAAGAATATTATCAATAGTCCAAAAATGAAGAACTAGGGTAGTAACAGAAATAAAAAGCATAAACTCCAATAAACCTAAAGCTAAAAGGGCAAAAACACAACACAATGTCAGATGTGCACACCAAAGTTAGTTTTTTAAAAAATTATGTACAACTATGAAAAGCAAAATAGACTGTTTCTAATAATAAATATTTACTACTAAAGTTTACTCAGGTAAGGTAGAATAATTGAATACAAATAACCAAAAAAAGAATTGAAAAATGTTATCAAAAATTAATCTCCCTGAACACACCAAACCCTAGAGGAGTTTTTGGTTTTCTTTTTTTTATGAGATGGAATCTTATTCTGTCACCCAGGCTGGAGTCAGTGGCGTGATCTTGGCTCACTGCAACCTCCACCTTTCGGGTTCAAGCGATTCTCCTGCTTCAGCCTCTTAAGTAGCTGGGATTACAGGCATGTGCCACCATGCCCAACTAATTTTTGTGTTTTTAGTAGAGACGCGTTTTGCCATGTGGCCCAGCAAGTCTTGAACTTCTGGCCTCAAGTGATCCACCCACGAGGGCCTCCAAAAGTGTTTGGATTACAGGCCTAAGCCAACGCACAGGGCCCCTAAAAGTTTTTCCATTAAGTTCATCCAAACCTTCCAGAGGCAGGAAACACTCAGGTTATACTGCACGGAATACAGAAAAAGATAACCATTTCTAAATTGATCACACAAAGCAAGCAATAATCCTAATTTAAAAATAGAATAGTAATAAAAACTAGGGACCCATCTCAGTAGAGTTGCAAATTTGTTGCAAATAGAAAGTAGTTGTGAAATAGCTTATACTTCAAAGCAAAACAAAAATCAGAGGATATTTAAATGTACTACCTCAAAGGAGAGTGTGAATTTGTAAGAGTGAAAGAGAAAGAGAAAGAAAGAAAGAGAGACAGAGAGAGAGAGAGAAGGAGAAGGAGGGAGGATGGGTGGGACAGAGAGTGAGAGTGAGAGAGAGAGAGAGAGAGAGTGTGTGTGTGTGTGTGTGTGTGTGTGTGTGTGTACAGGACTTCAATGCTGAATCATATAAGAAAGTTGAATAATTGAAAAACTATGCTATTATCTCCACTAATAAAATTTTAAATCAAAACCCCACAAAACACTATCATCTAGAAAAAGCAGAATATGCTCCTAATAAAAAACATATATATCAAAATAAAACCATCATCATAGTAGAACAAAAACAAGGTATTTCTATTTGAGTCTGAAAAAAGTAACAATGAGTATACTATCATTATTACTATTATAATCTCTTCTGGAACTTAGTGCAATAAATTAAGAAAACTACACATACTGGCCGGGCAAGGTGGCTCACGCCTGTAATCTCAACACTTTGGGAGGGCAAGGCAAGCGGATCATGAAGTCAAGAGACTATCCTAAACAACATGGTAAAACCCCATCTCTACTAAAAATACAAAAATTAGCTGGGCGTCATGGTGCACACCTATAGCCCCAGTTACTCGAGAGGATGAGCCAGGAGAAACGCTGGAACCCAGGAGGCGGAGGTTGCAGTGAGCCAAGATGGTGCCACTGCACTCCAGACTGGTGACAGAGGGAGACTCTGACTCAAAAAAAAA